GACTGGCCGAGGTGTTATCCGGACAGAAGCAGCAACCCAGAAATTACGTTACAGCCTGCTTGAGATGTCGACTGTCCTTCTCTCTGCTTAGGTCTGCATTGCTTTGCCTCAGGGAAACGAGATCTTCGGCCCCAAAGCAGACAACAGTCGCAGATATTGATTTTGAGGCAACAGTCACTGAATGCCGCATAGATCTGCAGCTTTGCTAACTCAACACAGCTAGGATAGCTACTTTTGTATTAGGATAGTTAATTTTAAGGTAATAAAATGGCGGCGAAGGTGTGGCTATTGGGGGAGGCTGGAGGCCAGGGAAAAAAGTAGTGATAGTAGTGTGACAAGTATGGTATAGCTGCAGGGGTGTGGCACTGACCTTGTAGTGTATGATGGACCAGTCGAGGACGCCCACCAACACGCCGGGGTCGATGATGTGGTCCAAGGAGAGGTTCTTCCCGGCGCCCCAGAGAACCGGAAAGAGATACGTCTCCTCCTCCAGCGGCCGCAGGATACACTCCCTCTTCTTGGTATCTGAGGGAGGAGACACCTTCAGGGAGACACAACACACTCAGAGGAACACAACACACTCAGAGGGACACAACACACTCAGAGGGACACAACACACTCAGAGAGACACAACACACTCAGAGAGACACAACACACTCAGAGAGACACAACACACTCAGAGGAACACAACACACTCAGAGGAACACAACACACTCAGAGGAACACAACACACTCACCTATCTTAGAGATGTGGACTTCAACCATCTGTTTCGTAGTCCAGTCCAGGATGCGTTTCACTAGGGCATACTTGGAGTAAGTGTCCATAGATATCTTATTCCCAGGTCCATCATACACCGTCTCCGTATACACCACTGAGGGCGAGAGGCAGGTGTGTGTACAGGTGTGTATGAGAGAAATTGATTCCAGGTATTTGATAGATTACGGGTGTAGTTTTTTCAAGACAGGTGGGTGTACAAGTGTGTGTGTGTGTATACGGGAGAAATTACAGGTGTGTCTTTTTACGACTCGGGTATATATGTGCTATAGTGCGTTTTTTCTCAGCTGAGAAAAACGCACTATAGTAACTACAGGTGTATGAGAAAATAGATTACAGGTGTGTTTTCCAAGATTCAAATGGACGTAAGAGTAACTACAGGTGTAAGAGGGAATAACAGGTGTGTGAGGTAGGGGGTACTCACCTAGACTATCAATAACGTCATCACTTGGCCCCTGAGCTGCCTGGACCACTTCTGACTTGATGGTGAACTGCTGTGGCATCCGAGGCTGTGGCGGAGGATCAGCTGTAACACATCACAGCAGCTGTTAAGTGGCTGTAACACATTATAACCCTTTAAGTTTACGGGGTAAAAGTATAAAGTAATAATAATAATAATAATAATAATAATTCACTTACAAAAAAGACATAGCCACTGTCTATAAGTAACTTTACACAGCTCGGTACTTACGATGGTCGGGTATTGGGTCGCAGTACTGTGTCTCCCCAGCCGCCACCGCCATCAACAACACCACCGCCACCGACGATACTTTCCCAGCCATCCCAGTAATTATCATCACTCAGGCACTAAACCAATAGCTAGATAAATTTAATAATTATTCTGTAAAATCGTCATGAAAGTTTCACACTCACTGTAAACAGTTACCTTCAGTCAGTTAACACTACGTTCACCTCACTGACATACAGTAGTATACAGAGACAGAGTGATCACCAGCTGCTGTGTGTGTGTGTGTGTGGCGGGAGGCAATTACATTACTGATAATCAAAAAACACAATTCTGATTAATATTATCTATGTTACCGCCTCCCGCCACCGTCACCGCTATTACCCTCCCTCCCTAACATCCTCCACTTAGCCTCTTTCTCCCCCCATCCCTCCCATATGACATTATATCACATCTCCAGGTTAATCTATATCGTTTTAACTTTTTAACTTCCTCAGAGGTAATTTAGATGATTTCAGGTTCCTCGAAGTAATATACACGTCACTTTAAGTTCCTCAGCACCTCTAAAGTATATACAAGATATGACTATCGAAATATCAGTCGAAAATAATACCTGTAAACCTTTACCCCCAGTTATAGTTTTGACCCCTTGACACCACCCAGTGACCCCAGGCCAGTTCATGATCTTATATTGAAGTCAGAGGAAGGATTGTTGACGCCATATATTCATGTGCTTACATTATAAACATTGGTATTCATTTAAAAACAATTATTACAGACTTACATAATAGGCAAGAAAGGAAATACACTACGCTACCTCGCTACGGTACATCATTGTGTCCAACTTAATAATATCAATTTAATTATTTAACAATATTTGATTTCTATACAACAGTTAACTTATAAACATTCTCTTTGTGTAGTTAGTTAACTCATATGATGATGTTTGAGGGAATATATGAGTTAATATGTAAAAATAACTTGACGTCATGTTTGGTGATGCGGCTCCTCTGTGTGTGTGTGTGTGACAGCAAGAATCATGTTTAGTGTTGACGTATGCGGTTAAATAATAGATAAATATATAAATACCTACAGGGGTTTTTAGTAAATTCGTCATTCAACAAATGACAGAATGAACTAACCAAATCTAACCTAACGTAACCAAACCTAACCTCATTACTCCCCCATATAGTATTAAGGTAGTTAATCTTTAGGTGAATTAAGCTGTGGTATAGTTTCTTGTCGTGATATGATTCTAATAAGCTCTTTTTTCCAAATAGCTGAGTGGTCAGTTTAAAAAAAAAGTGACAGAATCTTTAGCTTAGTTCAGGTTACCCTCCTCGCCACTCGTTTTCTCTAATAATCTGTAAGACGCCAGCCGCCCATACGCCCCATACAAACACCAACGTACGCTCATTCACCCTCTCGCCATTCACTTATGTGGTTTAGTATTTATATAATACTTGTCTCGCCCAAATTATACCGATCAATATTTAGTTTATCCGTTCTCATGTTTTCCTTCCATAGCAACACACACACACACACACACTTCCTTCTCTTCTATCTCCTCTTCTAAATTATTCACTGTTTTTCAGTGTTTCGTCTCTCCCTGTCCTCTCCACACCTAGACCTTGACAAACCCTCTGTTGTCTACGAGATAATTAACGTTTTATTTCCAATTATCTTTTTTTATTTATTATTTTTTAGTTCATCTCCATTATCTGGTGTTTATCTTCTCCTTCCTGCAGTATGTTATTATTAACCTCTCTCTCTCACACACACACACACACACACACATATATATATATATATATATATATATATATATATATATATATATATATATATATATATATATATATATATATATATATATATATATATATATATATATATATATATATATATATATATATATATATATATATATATATATATATATATATATATATATATATATATATATATATATATATATATATATATATATATACCTGTATTTATACTGAAGACTCAGCACCCCAGCTTAGTTCCCCTAAAGATTAACCACCTTGACGCTATTTGGGAGGATGAGGTTAGGTTAGGTTGTTAAGTTAGGTTAGGTTAGGTTAGGTTAGGTTGTTAGGTTAATCTTTAGGTGAAATAAGCTGGGGTGGAGATTCTGCAGGTCATCCGTTAAGATAATAAGTCCGTTGGTTATTTATAAGCAGCAGTTGTTGGTCTTAAGACACCTGACTCAAGAGGTATTTCTGTAAGCCTGAACACGCGCGCGCGCACATACACACACACACATTCGATAAAATCGTCATACAAATCACATTGGTTCATTGTGTACATAGACACACACACACACATACACAATGGTAAATACTATTCAACCAAGACTATCTAACGAAAACTGTCAAAACCGGAACTGCCTTAAAAGTTTATGAATATATGACTAAGACCCTATCCACCCACACCCACACCCACACAGCTGCTGCACCAGTGTATAAAGAGCAACGTAAACAGCAAGGGATTAATGAGTTGCTGTACAAAAGTTAGTTAACTAAAAACACCTGATGCTGTGACTTTCATGTTTCTAATCAGTCATACTGCGTATAAGAATCATAAAGTTTCATTTATAGTGTCTCTATATCTTAATTGTCGTTTATAACACAGTCTTAAGGCCTCGGTTTGAATATATTTTAAAATTTCCGACATTGGAGCATTTTAGGGCAGGTGGCAGCACTCACTAGGGTGCGTATATAAGTATGACCTCAGCGCCGCTACTTGTGTGTTGATACATTCTCTTATAATCAGCCTTGTGTGGTAATAACACCATCATTCTACTTTACAATTATCACCATTGTTGCTAGAGAAGACGTGATATAGCTGGTTGGGTGTTAAGTCCTTCAGTGATTAATTTTAGTGAAATATTTTATTGGAGGGGTGCAGCAAAATGACGTCATTATAAATTGTGTTGGTCTTTTAGAGGTGACGTCATAGACAACTTTCTCATTGTCCGAATACTTTACACAACTAATATGGATTTTTTTTTCTCAGGCGAAAACTTTCTATCAAAATTTAAAATTCTCGAATACATGGAGTGAAAAGAGAATCACGTTTTTAAAGGCATTCTGACACACTACTTGATTATGTTCCCATATGGAAGTGACTGGTATATTCATTATAAACAAAGCACCATTAATAAAATAATATCTCATAATTATAGTATCATTGTAATAAATCTGGTTACATTTTCATTAGGATTTAGTATTTTATTATGAGCTTCAATTAGATTTCAAAATATATGAAACTGTAAATAATGTTATAACGTCTTTCTCGGGCTATCCTTCGTTAAACCGACTAACTATTTACCATTATTTATATACCTGCACTGTGTAAGTACATACAAAACAAATGTAAACTTGTATGAAGATTTTAATAAATAATTAACCGTTTACTGACCCATCCATCTATATATTTCCCTATTTCTAATTATATAAACACAACCATCGAAGTCGTGGTCGCGGTAACAAGTTGAGACAAAGTAAACAGACCGGGTGTGACGTCATCGCCCTGCACATGGTATGAGGGGCTGGAGGTCTCTTGCGTCTCTCAGTCGTGTTCTCTCAACCATCCAGATCCTACACGTACGCAAAATGCCCTTCTACGCTGTTGCCAGGGGCCATAAACCAGGGATATACGAGTCGTGGTGAGCATTAATTATAATATACAGTGATAATTAGAACCTTTCTCATGACCGGGGGTGAAGGACGTGTGTGGTATTTAGGTTATAACTTTCTTAAACTGATCCATTCTAAGTTATCATTGGTTAAATCTACTCACTTTTCCATTATTACTTGTATAACTAAACTGTCAATGATGAACCACTGTGAACGTGTATGATAATTTACTGAATAAATGTCTATAGAAGTTGCCCGAGATATTTTAAAATGTATTTCTTTGTTTATCTATATGAAAAGCTTTTGGGGTTTACTGAGATGTTAATTTAATTTTGTGGTGTTGTCAATATATAATGTTAAGTATACATCTTGTAGTTAGTGATAGTGGTGCCTCACGCCCACACCTGCTGGGTCGTGTGAGTGTATGTCAGTGAAAGTGGTTAATTTTAGACACAGTTCATTGACCTCAGCAACTAACTCTTAACCACAATGTTTATGATGTTTATTGTTCTTATGTAAGACAGTTTTAACTAGGATGTTGAAATGTTAGTTAGTTAGGATGTTGGCATGTTGGTTAGCTAAGATGTTGAAATGTTAGTTGGTTAGGATGTTGAAATGTTAGTTAGCTAGGATGTTGAAATGTTAGTTAGCTAGGATGTTGAAATGTTAGTTAGCTAGGATGTTGAAATGTTAGTTAGCTAGGATGTTGAAATGTTAGTTAGCTAGGATGTTGAAATGTTAGTTAGCTAGGATGTTGAAATGTTAGTTAGCTAGGATGTTGAAATGTTAGTTAGCTAGGATGTTGAAATGTTAGTTGGTTAGGATGTTGAAATGTTAGTTGGTTAGGATGTTGAAATGTTAGTTGGTTAGGATGTTGAAATGTTAGTTGGTTAGGATGTTGAAATGTTAGTTGGTTAGGATGTTGAAATGTTAGTTAGCTAGGATGTTGGCATGTTAGTTGGCTAAGATGTTGAAATGTTAGTTAGCTAGGATGTTGGCATGTTAGTTAGCTAAGATGTTGAAATGTTAGTTAGCTAGGATGTTGGCATGTTGGTTAGCTAGAATGTTGAAATGTTAGTTATTTAGCCAGGATGTTGAATGTTAGTTATTTAGCTAGGATGTTGAAATAAGTCTTGGTCTATGTAAAAATTTGTAATACAGTATTGTACTAAACGTGCCAAAAGAGCTGCCACTCTAACTCCTCCAGGTAACATAAAGGTGTTTAATCATAAGGTGATATAAGCTGTGGCTAATCTTCAGGTGAAATAATTCTAAACTATGTTCCTTTTGTACTAATGAACCACTGAGCATTGCCAAACTTAAGTACAGGAAACCATGTGTGTGTGTGTTATGGTTAGTTTAGGTGTATTGTAAATTTAGTACTTGGTGGTTATTTATCCATGGATCTTTACGTTTGCAATTTGTCCAGCATCATGTTGAATGTTTGAGACTAATGACCTGTTACTTTTAGACAGGTTAGGTTTGCAATTGCATGAATTCAGTAATCTAATCAATGCATCATCAGCCTCGATGAACCAGAATGATGCCAGACACAGCGGAAGTATGTAAAAAAAACATGACTGGACAAATATCCACTGCCAGTTTACAAATAAACTGGCAGTGCTCCTGTGGAATTGCCAACCTTGTATCAGGTGCCGCTCAGCCACTAGTTTTGGGGGGGGGGGTGGGGGATTTCATTTATAGATCCTTTGTTATTTAAACATACCTGTACTGCATGTGCTATTAAAGTAAAGTTCAAACATCCCGTGTCAGGTGTGTCGGAACTGCAAAAATACACATTTGAATTTTCTAAGGAAATGGCAAGAGATCTAACGCCTGGCAAAATGACAAAAAAAATCGTTGACTTAAGTTCAGTGATTCATTCTTGCTAAACAGATATAGCTGCCTGTAGTTCAGTGATGGTTTTTGTTAGCTTGCCAAAGGTCACGACCTACTCGCTGTTTCCCAAGTAACATCAAGACATTATCTCACAGCTCTTACACTGGGTCAAGTAACCAAATACTGTACTGTACAGTACTGTATCATAATTTATGCAAATAAGATCTCAAATCAGCTTGTTTAGTAGTGCATCTGTTATAAGTTTTACCCAGAAAAACAAATAAAGGTCTTGGAATTATGGTTGTTTTATGTAATTATGTAGAAATGCCTGTATTCCACATTGTTAATACTGGTAATACTGTATTTATTTATTTTTTTAATGGAAATCTTGTGAGGATAATATGACTAGGAATTTACCTTTGTGTTACTAGGTGGGAAGCAAGCAGGCCCCAGTCTCCATGTGTTGTATACTGTACACGTTCAGGCAAGTTAAACAAACCAACACCGGCCTCTCTGATCTTAGCAGCTGCAGACCACTGAGTCTTGCCAAAATTTGGTCTATTCCTGCCACAGTCAGAATTAAGTGATGGTTTGCTTCCCGGAACAAACATACAGTACCAGTAATTTTTTCCCAACTTCCTCACCGGACTGACGAGTCTTGATTACAATTTCTTCACTGCTGTAGGGTAAAAAAATTTTACATATAATAATACAGTACAGTAATAATAAGGATCACATAAGATTAGTCATCCCATTTATTTCAAATGCTAACCTAACCTCACTTAAAAACCCCAGTTAACGATAAAATTAAATTAGAAAGAAATTTGTAAAGACTTTTAAAATTATGGAAGCTATCATAAAAAATGTCCAGAACAACTGTCCAGATATTGTTAATGAATATTGATCCTTATTAAAAGCTTCAGGCTGGTTAAGCTTGGGGGAGGGGGGTGAATCACCAGATGAGCACCTGTGAGTCGGCCGAGGTTTACCATACAGACTATAATCAAGTTCCTATATTTCTTAAGAATTCTCTAATATATAGTTCATTTATTTACATTCCTGTATTATATTTTCAGGCCAGAATGTCAAAAACAAATTAATGGTTTTCACTGCGCTCGCTACAAGAAGTTCTCAACCAAGGACGAAGCGGAGGAATTTGTGCAGGAAAATGCTGCCTCAAATCCTGTGGTAGATCGTCGTGAGAAACCGGCAACTGAGAGAGAGAATAAGGGGAGCGAAAAAGAGAAGGCATCTGAGCCTAGTCGTAAGTACAGTGTAGTACCTACAATAGTTAACAATAAAGTTGTTCCTTGTTATACACATTGTTCTACATACAATAAACATTTACTGCAACCATTTACAATATTTACCATAAGTAGAAAAGGGTAAATAGTATATCTTTAATTATTACAGTTACACAGAAACCTTTCTTAACACCCTGTTCAGGAGTATTGTATATGTATGAACCATGTTTTTTATATAATTAATGTACTGTATTGTAAAGCTTTATTTTTTTGTCTTGATAATTGTAGTAAGTTTTTAGTGTGGTAATGTACTGTGTATGGGATTTTCACAGCAAGCTTTTAAGAATTATGCCTTGTCGGTATATTGTATGTACAGTGCAGTTCTTGGTATATATATATATGTTTGTTCATGGTACTTGAACTGCTCATAAATCTAATTTTGTTTTTTTTAGAATGATAATGAGGGGCATGGTGTATAGAGTTAATTGATATTGTAGTTGATAAATAATACTCTACACTTAAGCATTCTCAGTTCATGCATGTTAAGAACTGGATTTTACCCTGCATTTATCTTAGGGCCAGCAGGCATGTTTGTGTCAATCTACCACGGTATAGTTCATAGTTTGACCATTTTCAGTTAAATATTTACAGGAGTAGTTTTCATGTTACAATACTTCACAACAGGTACAGTAAGTGTGCTATATGTTTGTGTGGTGAGTGTAGACAGTGAAGGAGTTACACCATTACTGTCTAGGTAATTTTGTTAAAGCTCTGACGGGGGGTTTCATAATATCTCCAAATGTTTTGCTTATTGAACCCTATAGTAACCCCCCCCTCCCCCACACTCCTTGTACTTGGATGTAAAGACTGTACTTAATGGTATATTAATCCCCACACTCCTTGTACTTGCATGTAAAGACTGTACTCAATGGTATAGTAATCCTCACACTCCTTGTACTTGCATGTAAAGACTGTACTCAATGGTATAGTAATCCTCACAACTCCTTGTACTTGCATGTAAAGACTGTACTCAATGGTATAGTAATCCTCACACTCCTTGTACTTGCATGTAAAGACTGTACTCAATGGTATAGTAATCCTCACACTCCTTGTACTTGCATGTAAAGACTGTACTCAATGGCATAGTAATCCTCACACTCCTTGTACTTGCACCTTCGATCTGCAAAGCAAAATCACAGTAATGTAATGTATTTTGGAAGTGAGTTGTCCTACCCTCATGTCACTATTTGATACATAACTAACATCTGCAGCAGTTCCTAGTAAGGTATTGGACATTTACTAGATTATAGTTAGCACCTTCACTTTGGGGACGCCACTCTAGAAGATTTTACTCACCACAGCAGGAAAACTCATGCACGGGGAGAAGTTATTTTGTGTAAATTATTTTTTATTTTAAATTTTTCTACATAATGAAGCAAGCCGTCTCCCCATTATGGATGAGATGAACGAAATTCTGTAGCACGAGACCGCTATTCCCACTGAAACTCATTGCACTGCATATAACTAGAGATGTGTTCTTACGGAAATATTTTTCAGCCAAAAGACATAATAAAATAGTTAAAAATAAAATTTAACATTTGTGGTCAAAAGTTAAAAATTTCGTATGGACGTTTCCATAATCTGAATGCAAGTACTGTAGTACAGAAATTTGTGTTTCACCTCGGTCTCCAGTCTCTCCGTAACAGCCAAGACTCGTACTAACTCCCAGCTCTCAGATACACTTAACTTGCCTTTCTACAAAACCTGTAACCATAAGAATCTTCGGTAACACCTTCATGTTGTAGCAGCTAGTACAGTAGTGTTGATGCTTATTTAACATCTGTGGCGCTGTATCCTGGTACAGTATATAAGTACTGTACCATTTTGTAGTTTCTGACTTGCAGTAAGGTTTTTGTAAATACATTTATAATTTCTTTCAGGGAATTCATGCAACAGTAATTCAGTAACTTTTTTTTTAGGAAGATTTTCCTACTGCCTCAGTCTGAACTGTTGCACTCATATGTGGTCAAATTGATCTCCAGATAATTACATCCACCTTTGCTTACTAACTAAACATTCCTAATTCATGAATACTGTAATATTTAAATCAAAACATTGCATGTACAGTTTATTAAATCTTTATACAATAATCTGTTTCTTACTTGACATCACTCATGTGGTTAAAAAATAATTTCACAGGCCAGTTGGATCCAGCCCTCAACGAGATGAAGAACAAAATGAAGAGATTACAGAAAGAATTGTCAGTGCTGAGGTCAGAGTTTGACGATTATGTGGCCACCACATGTGGTGTTCACCCAAAGTTCTCTCGGAAAAACAGCTCACTTAAACCTTCCTTCGCAGCTGACAAGAGGAAGCGAGATGATTCTTCTGATTCAGACGAAGACTCCAACGGACCATCTGTTGTCAAGAAGCTCAACACAGGCGACTCTGGCGGAAGTGACAAGACAAAATTCTCCACCGATTCTGACGGATTCCTCATAGTTTACACTGACGGGGCGTGTGAATTCAACGGGAGAAATGGAGCCAAAGCTGGTGTTGGTGTGTACTTTGGAAAAGATCATCCACTGTAAGTTTACCTGTTGCTGTGCTTGTGATGTACAGTAGTTAATTATTGTCTTATTGCTACACCAACGATAATTTGCAGACTGATTAATCCACATCTTGTGTGTCAATGGTCAGTGTTACATATTAGGAGTCAAAGATCAAATGAAACTTTCTTAAATTGTTCTTTTCCATCAAATATGTTTTCAGCTAATACTTCCATTATCTAGTGTGTGTTGCTCTTCTTTCCTCCTTGTTGTGTGCCGATTGAGGGAACACTCATTCTCTCCACAGGATTGTTTTATGGCTTCCTCATTCATGTGGGATTCTTGTATAACCATCAATCCATCTGTCTCTACCTCTAGTTAATCCTGACAGCATAACTCAGCAGACAGACTGATATTTAGTATGGTTCCTCTCTCTTAAAACTTACTGTGTCTTTTAGAGATATCCCTCGGTGTTTACAAGGTAGTGGTCACCGGTCCTGGGATTTTTCCTTGTAACAACAGCACCATATTTAATTTCATGGTTGAAGAAGATATGGTCAACAGTGAAACCTCGACCTAATGGACTACCCTTTCCCCATAGTTTGTTAAATGGAGGGTTCACTCTAATATATGGTTGGTGAACCAACATGAAGATTACAGAAACACACCCTACCAGTCCACAACACATTTATACACATACCTTACCACAACACATTCATAGATGTATGTACAGTATTTAATTAAAACCAATTAATTTCAGCAATGTAAGTGAACCAGTAAAGGGAAGAGCAACCAACAACACAGCTGAGATTCAGGCTGCCTCCTTTGCCCTGGAGTTGGCAAAAGCTTCAGGTTAGCTGTGTTGGATCAACCTTTTAAGATTTCTTTGATGATATGAAGATTAGCCACCACAGCATATTTCACCAGATGATTGAATACCCTGAACATAACCTAACCTTTTCACTTCCAAGCAAATTTTATCATAATGTAGTACAGTATATCAAAATAAAAAAAGGTTTTGTTGATGAAAACATTGGATATATCAGTCTTCATATTGAGTTTTATCTTGTGTTCACTTTAATTTACTAAGGTCCTCTTGTTTTGCTTTAATTAACAGGATTCAGCAAAGTGTCAATTCACACAGACTCTCAGTTCATGATTAACTGTATGACCTCCTGGCTCAAGAACTGGAAGAAAAAGAACTGGGTGAAGAGTGATGGAGAACCAGTCAAGAACAAGGAAGACCTAATAGCTCTGGATGCAGCCTCTGAGGATTTGGCTGTCAAGTGGGTAAGTCCTAGAAGATTAAGAGGTTTAAACCACTAATATTGTCGTGACTAGTAATGATAGATGATCAGTTATACTTCTACAGACGAATAGTATTGCACAGTACCTCAATGGTTTAAAATACAGGACTTGAAGTAATGTATAGTATATTTGTAAAAATCCCCAATTATTTTGCTGTAAAACTGGTATGTAATTGCAGGTGCACGTGAAGGGTCATGCAGGCCATGAGGGTAATGAGATCGCCGACAAGCTGGCGAGACAGGGTGCCAAGCTGTACAAGGCCGACCCTGATGCTTGAGTTGCACACACACACTGTACTGTACTGGCTTTAAAGACTTTGTGATTGTACAGTGTTGGCAAGTCGGGAAAATTGAACCAGTGATGTGTCCGTGTGTTGACTGCTGGACAGAATTTTTTTGTTTTGTAAAGTTCTTTTGTGAGAAGAAAGAACAGATTCTGTATGAAAGCTTCTTTTACAAGGTAGAACACATTTATAATCTTTTAGTACAATGAATAATATTTTTAGGCTACTGTACAATATGTTTATGAACAACAGAATCTCTCACAATATCTGGACTACATTGGATATTTAGTTTCTGTAGACATGTCTCTCATTAACTTCACCTATTTGGTACCATAAGTTTTTTTTTTCTCCATATTTTCACAAAAGTTTGGATGGGCAAATTTTTTCAAAGGAAATATATTTATGAAGTTTTGTATTTAACCTGTTATTGGTTGTTTTAAAGTCTGTTTTCATTAGTTATTTTGTGTTAATAGTCTTACATTTAAATACTGTACTGTACTATGTCACTGTCCTGCAGAAAGATTACAGTATATCACTAACTTTGGTATTATTGGTCAGGGCAGACTAAGCTATACTATGGGTAACTTTTTTTTTTTTTTTAATCAATTCTATTTTCGTTGATTTCATTTTAATATTCATACATATAACTCGGTGTCGTCGTCCTTCATAACGCTGGGAATAATTGGCCAGATAAACTACTGACTGTTTCATTTGCCATTGTTAACTTTTGATACATTTGTTTTATAATCTGAACATAATAACTCTTCATTCTTGGTGTGAACTCTCAGGATATTGCCTAGTTTCATATTGCTACAGAATTAAGAATAAATTATACTAAAATCTCTGAGGTTGTTGACTTAATTTCATCCAAATATTTTAGTTGGTTGGTTGTGTTTAAGGGTGTTGGACGTAAGGTTTGGCCAAGTGGTATAATGAGGATTTAGATGGCGAGTCATGAAGCAAGAACAGAGTTAATTTCACACAAACTCCACCTCATTTCCACCATTTAAAAGCTAACTAGCCATTTAGCCAGTCAATTGTTACAACCTTCATTATCTAGTACTGGAAAAGAAAACTTTAATCCTGAACCCATTTTCAAAATCAAAGAAAAGAATATTCCTTCAGCCAACTTGACTTATCTCCAGACCTTAGTATACATGTTGCAATGAAAACTGTACTTAAAAAGCCTAGAGTCCTGAGAGGTTGCAAGAGACTTTGCAGCATGGAGAGCTGCCATCAGGTAATCACAGCTAACCAGCACAGAAAATGGCTGTTAAATGATTATTATATATATATATGGTAATAGTTAAACTGTATATAAGCAATGTTAACTTATTAGGTTTAAGAACCTTGAAGGTACACCTGTATAAGATACCACCCACAATACTGCACCAGTGTTTAAACAAGAAGATATACTTTTAGAGGAAGTTAAACATCACAATCCAAATAAAGTGATGTAAGTTACACAGCATACAAACTAGTTCAGTTTATGTACTTAAGAAATAGTAGTGGTGATTGAGGCTGCAGTCAGGCATGGTGCAATGTACAGGCAGCCAACTGTGGTGACTCCATATAGGTGTGGTGGCTGAGACATAATAAACACACTGAGAAGTTATGGGCCAATCAAGAAAGACAAAGTAACAACACAGACTGTACTGCACTGTATATCCTTCCTGATTATAGAGAACATTAAAAAATGTGTATACGCACAATGGACAAATTTTACCATAATTGATCATATGCTGATGGCTAACTCACTGGTCTGGACTCTTAACTGCAGCCAGATGGGTTGAGAACATTACTATCCAGAATGTGAACTCTTGAATTTCTCCCATTAAGTACAGGATTTTGGCTAAAAACTCGAGTCTTTCCATCCCACTAAATCAAAGGAGAATGTGTAAAAGATGTTGATTTATAATTACGTATACCAACAATATATATAGGATTACAAAGGCTTCATTAAGTTTAATATTTTAGATGCTATATAGTGTAACATTAGTACATTATCAAAACTTATACTAAAATTCAAGTCATTTCATATCAACATCTTCAGTACTTGGGTCGAAGGTTCCGTCATCAAGGGGCTGTGTTTCCATCTTGCGTTTCTTGGGAGGAATGTACGAACCGTGGCCCCCAGCTCTCTCTGACTCCTCAATAGTGTAAGGTTCCATCTCTAAGGCTTTTAGTCGTCTCTTGTGAACTTTAGTTCTAAAGTGACCTTTGAGAGCTTCTGAATTAACGAAGTAACGCCTGTCAAGGATACATTTCAATATTAAAGGCTGAGATACTGACTGACTTAAAACATGGAACATCATGTGGTCAGAAATATGGAGAAAGAGCCTGCAAACTCTATATAACTACTGTACTGTAAAAGGCAAAGTCGTGTAAAATTACTGTATAGAAAATGGGAAATTTATCAAAGAACTAAAACTTTTTATTCAAATTAATTCCACTTATAGTATTTGTGAAAATATAAACTTCAGTAATATCAAGATAATTTTTTTTCTATATGCTTAAAAAATACAAATTGAAAAAGAAAAATCCACATAACGTTTAAAGTTACAATTAATAAATCCACTCCGTTGCCTAATATTATTTAGTAAAATTCATGCACGTCTCTCACCGCTCCATCATAATGTATAATGAAGTATATAATCCAAGAACAGACACACAGATAAACACATCTTACTAGTGCTTCAAAAGTACTCACTTCCCTCATTTTTTGAAGAACAAAATTTATGCAACATTATACAGTACAGTACAGTATACCATATTTAAAGCAAGGGATTAAACTGAAATCCCATTTTATGGCTAAAGGAAAGATTCAAGTTATATACCAGCAAGACCCTCTTTGTTAGAGCACCTGCTAGCAGAGCCTGTCTTCTCCAGTGGGCTGACTGCATTCTGAGACAAGAACTCCCCCCTTAACAGACCAGTTCTCAGGCAGCTCACCAGGTGAATTAGTAGTTAGCAGGGAAAGAACCTTTATAACAATCCAGGAAAGGAACCTGAGGATACTCGCTTCAGGAGTTAGTACAATGACCACTCCACCAGAACTTAATAATCATTTGTACTGTATTAATTTTCCAAATAATCAAATCTATCTCTCCCAAAACAATAATGAAGAACTTAATTAATAATGCCAAAAACAAGAGCACCAGAAGCACTATGGATGATACAACTGGTTCACTGGACACCCATTATAGTCACAGGAGTCAACCAGCTGGGTAAGAGAGGCAGTCAGTGCTGTTCCTTAAGTAGAGGAAATTTTATGAGGTCATTTGACAAATAACTAATAATTCCTAACAAAGATTAACCACAGTTTAGAGGAGTTGAATATTTATTATCCCTTAAATAGCAGTCATCATGAAGTGAAAGTTAGCTGTAGGGACGGTAGCCATCATCAGCGAAAATTCCATTTCTGTGTTCTGTTATTGTGCATACAGTGAAGTAATGGAATCCTAAATGGTTACTGTATCATGAGTCGAGAGGAACGCCGCTACTTACGCACAGTGAAGACAGTAGTGCTGTCCTGACCCTGGCTTATCATCATCTATCTCCTGGTGTAGTAACTTGGCTGCATTATCATCTTGAAGGTCATCATCAATCTAGGGCAGACAAGAGTTCACACAATTAATAACATTTCTAGTTTACTCACACTGTGCAAATCCTTTAATTTTCCTAGAATAAGTAATAAGGCAGACAAAAAATAATAATTCCTTAGAAATAAAATAGTTAAACCTCAATTTACAATGGGGTTACATTACTCAAAACCCTATTGTAAATCGCAATACCCTGCATCATAAATCGAGTTCATTATAACATGGGGTTCAATGGGATACATTCCTAGCTAGTCCAACACACACCTAAAAAAATTCCTTAACCTTGTCACTCTCTTTAAGGAAATTGTAATGTAATTTTCCTTGATACTACACTGGCTTCACAATCTTTGCCTCTAAACAAACACCAGTGAAAGTAATTTGCACGAACATATGAATGAAAATTTATACAAGTGGGCATTAAGATATACTATAGAGGAACATTTACAGTATACGTATTAAAACATAAAAGGGGCTATTTTCACCATCATGACTATCAGCAGCCAATGAGCATCAAGGAGTTACAAGTACTTAAAATTTCATTATTTCAGCCAATCAGCAGCAAGTACCGACATTCCTCATCTAGGCCGGCAATTTATTCACTGTCTCCAGCTTCTCCTCCATGGATGTGTGCAACAACTGTTATTATAATATTCATTTTTAGACATTATTAAATTAATGCAAAGTTCCATCATTGGTGCAATAAACATTTTTGTGAAGCGTGGCAGTCTTAAAATGCAACCTGTGGCCAGTGCTATTAATCCGTTCCTGGCATGAGACATAGAGGAATGGTGATTTTTACCGGAATATGAACATCATTTGAAACGAAAGGATTAATAAAACGAATCTTAAACTTATAAACCTCTATTAAGTCACTCCTTGACCGCCTACTGGGTAACTGCAGGCGTTCTAGTCTCTCTGGGTAACTGAGGTCCTGGGGTACATAGAAACTTATACAATTAACCCTGAAACACTAGATGGGCTTAAATCACATAATAACTAAACACTACTCATATTAATAGTTCATTAAGGTGACGAAAGACCTTCCTCACCTGGTCCATGTCTTTAGTTCGACGTTTAGTCCTCCACCTCTTCTTCAGGTGAGTGTCGCCCCTGTGATGCCTCTTCCTCCTCTGTGGGCCGCCCATGGTGTACTGTTCACCGCCTCACAACTCCCAAGTGTGAGAGTGATTGATGAATTGATGAACTATAACTCACCACCAGACCTTCACCTCAACACGCTGCTCTTGTTTTGGTTCACAAGGAAGTTACAGTATATCCAGGTTGTGAAGTGGAGAAACACTCACCCATAACATTATTTGAAAATTATAAAGCTAATCCTATTGATAATTATATTAATTATAATATAAACACAACGATAATAATTATTATAATGACAATAATAGTGACAATAATTAGAAAAAATAATATAGTTCAATCCAGATTATGTAGTGGACAATAACGGGGCCGCGCATCTGCTAACAAATATTTAACTAAATAAATCTAAGAAAACTTAACAATAATTCTAAAAAAGACAAATGATAACAATGATAATAATATAAATCAACATTAATGACTAATTATATTAATATACTCCTATACAGTTGTGAAATGAATGACAGGTATTCCACACAACATTTGTTTTATTCAAATTTATTATTTATCGATAGAATAATAAAACCTTTCACTATTAATGTACATCTATATTTATTTATCTATCTATCCAGGTCGGCGAGGACGTGTTGTCAGTGTGAGGGCAGGACACACACTGCTGGGGGAGATGTTGTCAGTGTGAGGGCAGGACACACTGCTGGGGGAGATGTTGTCTGTGTGAGGGCAGGACACACTGCTGGGGGAGATGTTGTCAGTGTGAGGGCAGGACACACTGCTGGGGGAGATGTTGTTGGGGAGATGTTGTCAGTGTGAGGCAGGACACACTGCTGGGGGGGAGATGTTGTCAGTGTGAGGGCAGGACACACTGCTGGGGGGAGATGTTGTCAGTGTGAGGGCAGGACACACTGCTGGGGAGATGTTGTCAGTGTGAGGGCAGGACACACTGCTGGGGGAGATGTTGTGGGTGTGAGGGCAGGACACACTGTTGGGGGGAGATGTTGTCAGTGTGAGGGCAGGACACACTGCTGGGGGAGACTGTTGTCAGTGTGAGGGCAGGACACACTGCTGGGGATGTTGTCAGTGGAGGGCAGGACACACTGCTGGGGAGATGGTGTCAGTGTGAGGGCAGGACACGCTGGGGGAGATGTTGTCAGTGTGAGGGCAGGACACACTGCTGGGGGAGATGTTGTCAGTGTGGAGGCAGGACACACACTGCTGGGGAGATGTTGTCAGTGTGAGGGCAGGACACACACTGCTGGGGGAGATGTTGTCAGTGTGAGGGCAGGACACACACTGCTGGGGAAGATGTTGTCAGTGTGAGGATGTTGTTGCAGTCACTGCTGTGTGCAGTGTGAGGCAGGACACACACTGCTGGGGGAGATGTTTGTCAGTGTGAGGGCAGGACACACTGCTGGGAGATGTTGTCAGTGTGAGGGCAGGACACACACTGCTGGGGGAGATGTTGTCAGTGTGAGGGCAGGACACACTGCTGGGGGAGATGTTGTCTGTGTGAGGGCAGGAGGGGCAGGACACACTGCTGGGGGAGATGTTGTCAGTGTGAGGGCAGGACACACACTGCTGGGGGGGAGATGTTGGTGAGGACACACTGCTGGGAAGAGATACAGTGCTGGGAATGAGTGTGCAGGACACACACTGTGTGAGGGCAGGACACACTTGCTGGGGGAGATGTTGTCAGTGTGAGGGCAGGACACACTGCTGGGGGAGATGTTGTCAGTGTGAGGGCAGGACACACACTGCTGGGGGAGATGTTGTCAGTGTGAGGGCAGGACACACTGCTGGGGGAGATGTTGTCTGTGTGAGGGCAGGACACACACTGCTGGGGGAGATGTTGTCAGTGTGAGGGCAGGACACACACTGCAGTGCCGGGGCCGTGAAGACATCCCTCAGCTGACCCGCCCCGCGCTGCCTTCCTCAACACACGCACACACACACGCACACACACACACACACACTGAATTGATTTTGTGTGTGTGTGTGTGTGTGTATGTGTGTGTGTGAGACAGATAGACATATAAATAGATAGACATTATGATAAATACATAAAAACGGAAGGGTAGACTGACCTATAGCTAGATAGATAGATAGATAGATAGATAGGCATGCAGGTAACAACACTCGCCACCTGTACTGTGCTAAGATATCCTTGCTTCACCCCTCCGTCCTCCCAGGTGTGAGTTGGTACCTAGTGTTACTCTTGGGGAAGTGACGGTGGTCGAGTACAGTGCCTGCCTTATACAACGAAGGGAGGGAATAAAATAAATGATTATAAGACGATAGAAAAGCAAAAATTAAGAAAATTGAAAATAATAAATGGAAGATAAACGAAGAGGGAAAATATTAAAGAGAAGACATAAAATAAAATAATTGAAAGGAGAAATAATATTTAAAACAAATAAAATAAACCTGAAAAACGTAAAGAGGGAAAAATAAAGAAGAAAATAGAGAAACAACAAAATAATTAAATAAAAATCACAAACACATAAACTAAACGTATAAATAGAGAAAGGACACAATAAAGAAAACAAGAAACAAAGTGCCGGTGGTCTCTCAGCTCTGCCCCGCGACCTCTATCATCGATCGCCAGCCAATTTTTATAACCCAGGCGGCGACCTCTATCATCGATCGCCAGTCCAATTTTTATAACCCTAGAGAACGCTGAGTACAGGTAGACAGATACTAGAGAACGCTGAGTACAGGTAGACAGATACTAGAGAACGCTTATTCTATTTTACTACTTACATTTCTACTCCCACACCTTTATATACTAAAGAACGCTGAGTATAGACTACTAGCTAGTACAGGTTACTAAGTTTTACTTGAGTACAGGTAGACAGATACTTGAGTACAGGTAGACAGATACTGCTGAGTACAGGTAGACAGATACTATGAGTGTAGACAGATTAAAGAACGCTACAGGTGGCATGATGGTGTTTTTTAATGTAAGTCTTGGTATGTCGATATTTTATACTAGAAGAACGTTACTAGAGAACGCTGAGTACAGGTAGACAGATACTAGAGAACGCTGAGTACAGGTAGACAGATACTACTACAGGTGTAGAGAACGCTACAGGTAGAGAACGCTGAGTACAGGTAGACAGATACTAGAGAACGCTGAGTACAGGTAGACAGATACTAGAGAACGCTGAGTACAGGTAGACAGATACTAGAGAACGCTGAGTACAGGTAGACAGATACTAGAGAACGCTGAGTACAGGTAGACAGATACTAGAGAACGCTGAGTACAGGTAAAACGATACTAGAGAATGCTGAGTACATACACACACACAAATACATACACACATACACTTACTGCACACACACGTGAACGTTACTAAATTGGATGACCATACGAGAGAGAGAGAGAGAGAGAGAGAGAGAGAGAGAGAGAGAGACATACAGACATATAGACAGACAAATAGGTGGAAAAAGACAGACAGAGGCACATTGGAAAATACAGTTGAGATAGAGAGACAGATAAGAACAGACAGGCGTAAGCGGATTTAGATATACAGACAGGCACAGATACATACAAACACACGGACATACATACAGACACAAGGGCATACATACAGACACACGGACATACATACAGACACACGGACATACATACAGACACACGGGCATACATACAGACACACGGACATACATACAGACACACGGACATACATACAGGACATACATACAGACACACGCATACAGACACACGGGCGTACATACAGACACACGCATACAGACACGGACATACACAGACACAGGGCATACATACAAACACACGGACATACATACAGACACAAGGGCATACATACAGACACACGGACATACATACAGACACACGGACATACATACAGACACACGGGCATACATACAGACACACGGACATACATACAGACACACGGACATACATACATACAGACACGCAGATATATTGTAGATACAGACAGACATCGAAGTTAGTTAAGGAAAGAAGTGTTATAATTCAGAACAGGTGACGTGTAAAGTAGACGCAACTGGTCCTTCCTGTAGCGAGAAATGGACCCTAGATTATTTATTTAGGGTACATAATACATGGTCCATATTGCATAGTGCATAATACATAATACATAGTACATTATATATAGTACATTATACATAATACATTATATATAGTACCTAATATATGATTCACAATACATAGTAACAATACAGTACATGACGATAGGTTTAATTCCTCCGTCAGCGTTACGTAATAGTGACGTCATGTGTTACTCCGGTGTCACACTCCTCCCGTTACCTGGGCTGAGGGAGTGATGTTGTGACCGTGGGGTTGTAATAGGTTATGAGTTGTGGTTGTTGGTGAGGGATGAGAGCTGTGGTGGGCACAAACCTCTGGAAATATTAAGATGTGGTAGTTAAAGAAAACGGGACGACCTCCCCGTGTCCTCCTTGGGGCCACCTCCTTCGTCTGCCTCTTTCTTAATACTTTTTGACTTTCGATCGATCATGTCCTCGTATTTTGAGGGTAAATAACACCCCTGGATGGTAAAGGGAGGTTTGAAGGTTAGGATTAGGGTAAATAAATGGGGTATGGGTATGTAGGGCGTGAGGTGTGGGTGGAGGAAGGGCGTGAGGGCGAGCGAGACAATATGGGGTGGTCGATACAATCTGGGATGGTTGTTGAGGGTAGCGTTCAGCGAGGCACGGGCCCTCAGCGTCACCCGTCAAGAAACCCTTCAGCGCGCGCCCTTTGCACCTTGGACTATTTCCTATGTCACCTGAGACTTAATAATCCTTCATTCTATTATCCTAATAAACTAGAAATCATCAAACATTAGCAAGACCAAGGTGACGCCCATTTCATTTCCTCCCGTCCGCCATTTTGTGAACTCGAACAAAGAGTTTCAGGTTTTTGTGCCTTATGAAAACTGCTTCTAGGACTGACGGATCCACTTTTGAGTTTGAGCCTTAGTGTTATTACTCAATCTGCCATACTGGGGAATTATATCAAAACATGAAACGAATTTATTGTAATGTTAATCAATAAAGTATTTCAGAGCCTGCGCGACCGTCGCTAGGTGCAGATGGGGGCCTCTGTCTCCCCGGCCACAACCTTCATCTTCTAAAAACAAACATTCAATATTTTTCCAGTACTTTACAGACATTTATATCGCTGGCAATAAATACAAACACTTTTAAGAAATTGTTTTTAATTGTAAATATATTTTCAGTAATATAAATGGAAGAGTAAAATGGTGAGTGTTAGTGCGTTGTGGTGATGGTGACGTCTGAGGCGGAGTGTTGGAACGCGTGGTGGTGAGGCGAACAATACGTAGCGCCGGTGTGTCCTGTCTCTTGCTTCACCAGTGCTCCCGCTCATGACTGCCGCCCTGCCCTAGAAATGTGTTCTCGGTGTTTCTGAGTGAGTGCTTTAGTGTGTGATAACAAGAAAACATGACTAAAGAGATGAACAAAGACGCCGAAGCGTATGACAGGGAATATGATGGGTTTCTCAAGCAGCTTGAAGAGTTTCATCAACAGAGAGGGTAAGTGTGCCGCTGTGTGTGTCCCCCGAGTGGTCTTACTCATGATGTATAGTGTTATATATGTGTGGTGTGAGGTACTAAGGTTGTGTATGTCCCCGACAGGACGGCCTTCAAGCGCCTGCCTCGCATCAACGGGAAGGGAGTGGACCTCTACCTGCTGTATGTGGTGGTGACGGCGCGCGGCGGCTGGCAGAAGGTCGGTGTCTCGGCCACCACTCGTATTTTCCCGCCACGGGTGCGAGGCGGCCAGTGGCACTCTGGCACCTCACGCACGCCAAGCACACACACCTCTCCCGCGCTCTCACACACCCCTCATTCACCTACCCCACACGCCCACACCCCACACTAACCCATGGTCCTGAAACAAACTCCTCCCTCCACCTCCTCCTCCTTCCCCAGAGTGGCGGCTGTGTGGCGGCTCCATCACTCCCTCCGCCACAACATAAACATTATGCTGTCCTACACAACGTATTACCTCATTAAATCCTCAACATCTGACTTCTAAGACCTTAACAACACAAAAAGATGAACCACCCCATAACACCACCACCCCATAACACCACCTCATAACACCACCTCATACTTGGGGTGTGATGGCCTGCAGGTCTCCCTCAGCCTTTAACACACACCCTACACCAAGGACTGTCACCCAACACCACCTACACCAGCATGTTCCTTCACTTTAGTATCTATCCTTTGTTTTAGCTCTGGCCAACCTATGACATCAGCCATTTTAAGTTTTTCCATTATCCTCCATTCTGTTCACAGCTTGACAACTCCTTTATAGTTATTTAGTGATTAACCTCATGAGAAATAAAACTAAATTTTACATGAATCTTAAGGGGAAATATATTTTTATTTAGTGTTCAGTCATTGGTAATTGTTAAGGCACACTGTAACACTTAACCTCCATAAAGCAGTGATTTTATTTACCAACACAAGCACTATTTTGGTATAAGTTTGTCTGGTGATGTAGCTCGCTGGTGTGTGTAGATTTTCTGAATAATAAGATATAATTCACATCATAAATAGCACAGATATATTGGATTGGCAATACTGACCACTGGGAGATAATATGGATGTACTGTAGGAAAATATTGGGAATAATTATGGATTTGTTAGTTAGATTTCTTTGTGGTTTTCACTTAGAATATTCGTTTTAAGTTAAAGAGGTACTGGGTGGGAGGACAGGAACAAAAGTGACAGTGTATGGGAACAGCGTTGGTCGTGATATGTGTAACTTCATCACTGTACTGTGTCGTGTATAGCATTGAGTTTGTGAATTTTAAATACTCGAGTGTGACATTGCCCGTTGTGTCTTCCTGTTAAAATTACACAGCTCCGGTATAACTCTGCATGCAATATTTGCCATTCCCCAAGTTGAATTTAAAAGCGTTGTTACCCCGAAGGATTGCATTCAACTCCTCCATGAAAATTCTAGAAAAAAACGTTAATATTCAGTTTACAGTATTTCAGGAGATTGAAACCAAAGTTCAGAATACAGTACAAAATTTAAGCTGTGAGTGAGGTTTTTTAGTAAACACATGAAAGCTATTGTATTTTTATTTTGTATATTACTGTACAAATACAAGGCTGCATATACCATACTGTACTGACAGAATATAGCTCACTATTTAAAGTACTGTTTCATGAAGTAGCTAATATGCCTCGGTAAACCATAATACCATTCCCTTTCTTTGTGTGTGGCTGCCAGTGTTGCCAGCTAATGGGATGACACAAAACCTGGAATAATTATAGCTTATCCTGAACTTCTCCTTAATGAGTTAGGAACAAAACACACACCATATAAGTTCCTTGAATTTTAGTTATTTTAAACTGTTTTTGCTGTTGCCACTAAATTAACAGGTTTCTGGGTTATTCTATAGACAGTTAGTGTATTATAGTACTGTAGTGATTTTGATATTGAAACAGTTTATTGAGCCAGAAAAATACTGATACAGAGTGGACAATAACAACAACATTGACATGGCTGAGCTCTATTAGTGGCACCTGATAAATACTGAACATTTATCTCAAGGAAGTATTATGTAACATTTAGTATCATCTGGATTATTACACAAAAGTGGCATAATAAGTTACTAAACCTGTGATTCACTAGACCTAGCCTGACAACTGCACTGAAACTGTTATCATATAACAACTCATACTTATGTAACAGTTTTAAGAGGAATACTTACTCGGTATCTGAAACTGTGTGTGTGTGTTTGTGTACAGTACATTGAGCCTCAAATACACTGCACCCAAGTCTTGTTTTGAAATAGCAGCTGTCACTTGCTACCTGTAAAATAAAGGCATACAGTCATTTGATTTATTTGAATTTACTTTCTGGTTCTGGGATGGTCGGTGCTGTTGTTTTTATTATTGTTTAATTTTTTAATACATTAACTTGAGTGTGTGATCCTTACCAGACATTAACTTGAGTGTGTGATCCTTACCAGACATTAACTTGAGTGTGTGATCCTTACCAGACATTAACTTGAGTGTGTGATCCTTACCAGACATTAACTTGAGTGTGTGATCCTTACCAGACATTAACTTGAGTGTGTGATCCTATCCAGACCTCAAAACATGAAAGCCCTTGATGTCACTTGTTACTTGAAACTGTTTGGACATTTTTAAGCTGCATTCCCAGAAAGTTACCCTGTGATGTCCTAATGTTTATACGTGAATCATAGTGAATCATATATATAGAGTGTGTTGTTGTTTAGGACCTGATATAGTCCCATGTGATTATCGAGAGATTTAGTTTTGTTTATTTTCTGTGTTCCAGTTCTTTGCCTCAGACTTTAGGTATACGACTCTGAATCTGGTGTTGTTCTTGATGTTCAGTTGTGGTTTTACGTATTGGTCAAGAGTCACATGTTAAATTGTTTGTTTTTCATACAGACCTCGTTATAAATCCAGGTAGCTAACCCGCTTTATACATTCCTACTTTTAATTGTGAAGGTTAAAGTGTATTTCTGCCATATTTTTGTCAAGAGTGTTTGAATGTGTGAATCACTGGACTGTATAGAATCACAGATGATATTGGGAACAGCAGTAGGTATAATCATAAATATATTAAAGATTTATTTTCTCATCGTACTGTATTGTGACTTTCCTGATTGTGTCTGAGATTGTTTTGTTTCCTTGGATTGTGCTGAATAGTGAAGTGAGGGACATGGTTAATTGTGAATTCTTAAATAGTTGAGTGGATGTAATGTATTGTTTATAAAGTACAGTACATGACAGAGTGGTTGTTTGCCAGATAATTGGAGAAAAGCAGAGAGAGTAAATGTCTGAAAAAAAAAAGGAGGGACATTTTTATTAATTTATTTGGTAAGGTGTGGGAAGGGTGAGGGTGTTGGGATGTTCGGAGGGTGAGGGTGTTGTGAGGGTGATTTAACTTCAGTGTGGAGTAGGCTGCTGGGTTTGCTCTGTCAGTGCTGAAGGTGTGAATCCTTCCTAAGGTGGGTTCTTATGCTTGTTCCTTGAAATTGTTAGGAAGTTTTAGATGTTCTGTGATCTTGTTTAATGTGAGTTAGGTGTGTGTTTAGCAGAGGAGAGAGAGGTGGTGTTTATATGAAGATAGGTTATTCTGTCAATGTACTTTTGGAAATACCTGTCATGAACTCACCTGACTGATCATACACCATTCCTCCTACACTGTTGGCTGTCACGTTATATTAGCATCATCCCTGAGAGAAATATACACGCATATTCATCTCCAGATAGTATTTAGCACCTGATATGATAAGTGTAGGTGGAAGAGTCCCCTCCCCCGGCCCCCCTCTCCTGTCATAGGTGTTGGCTACCCGTACTCAGTGTCAGTGAGTCAGAGTGATCCCCAGTAGCTACCCTTAGTGCCATTATCCATTATTTGTACTGAACCTCTAGCAGGGATAACAGAAGCCTCCATAAAGGTGGTGGTTTATCTTAAGCTGTACCAAAACAAAGCATGAACAATACACAGAACGTTTGCTATCCTTGTTTGAATTGCCTTACTGTTTACCATTGTTTGTGTTTATGCCCACACTGTCTAGGTACGGTACAGTACGTTGTATACCTGTATGGTCTGTATATGCTGTATACCTGTAATTGTTTATATAGGCTATGTATGTGCTCAGTTGTACACAGTATACCTATTTTGTTTATACAGTACAATATGGTACATGTTGAACTGCATACCTGTGTGGTCTGTATACATGCTGAACTGTATACCTGCATTGTTTATATACATGCTAAACTGTATACCTGCATTGTTTATATACATGCTAAACTGTATACCTGCATTGTTTATATACATGCTAAACTGTATACCTGCATTGTTTATATACATGCTAAACTGTATACCTGCATTGTTTATATACATGCTAAACTGTATACCTGCATTGTTTATATACATGCTAAACTGTATACCTGCATTGTTTGTATACATGCTAAACTGTATACCTGCATTGTTTATATACATGCTAAACTGTATACCTGCATTGTTTATATACATGCTAAACTGTATACCTGCATTGTTTATATACATGCTAAACTGTATACCTGCATTGTTTATATACATGCTAAACTGTATACCTGCATTGTTTATATACATGCTAAACTGTATACCTGCATTGTTTATATACATGCTAAACTGTATACCTGCATTGTTTATATACATGCTAAACTGTATACCTGCATTGTTTATATACATGCTAAACTGTATACCTGCATTGTTTATATACATGCTAAACTGTATACCTGCATTGTTTATATACATGCTGAACTGTATGCCTGCATTGCCTATATGCATGCATAACTGTATACCTGCATAATTTTCACCCACACGGTGAACTAATAATAAACTTGTTACGGAATAAGAACAGCATCTGGGTATAGTGTTGTATCATCTGGGAGGCGAGCAAGGAGATAAGATTATAACTCAGCTGAAGTAAGTATTGGTTCGTCAACAGTTGTATGATGTCGTATCACTCCCAGTTTAGTTTTAATAATAAAAAAAACTCCTTGGTACTACTGTATCTTCCCCTGAAAATAAACGTCGTGTTGATAGGTGCACTGCAGTACTGTACGCTGAAGCCCCCGGTCATATTTGATCATCTTCTATTGAGCGATAAACAGTGACACAACTTTCATTATATCCGATATATTTCATGAACTAGTATTTGTGCGGTACACATATTGTAATCT